GCTAGGGCCCTCATGCCCTACCTCATCTCTAGCATCCGCCCACACCCCTCACAGGCTAGGGCCCTCCAATAAAGCTGTTTTGTGACACGCCCGGCCTTCCCGCTGCCTTCCATCTGTCCCTTGTTTGTCAGAGCTGCCCTTCCAACTTTGACTTCTCCTGAGTCCCTGATTCCTTTCTCCATCCCATTCTGTCATCTCTACCATATCCACTGCCCCTCAGGGCCTGCTTCTAGAGTTCTGTGGTCTGGGGACAGTGCCAAGGGGGCAGGAATTGCCTACCCTTTCCTCTGCCAACCCCTAGGGCAGGTGGGGGATGGAAGATTGTGTGGAGGGGAGGGGTTTTTGAAAGACAAAACAAAAGGAACCATCCTCCAGCACCATCTGGTACCCAAAGCTCTGGTGCCAAGAACTGAGGTCACTTTAATGCCATGGGCAAGAGGTGGGAGGAAGATTCTAGGAAGCAGGGCCGGCCTAGTATATGTACTCAGGAGAGGTTCCTAATACTGGAGGGGATTACCCCATCCAGTCCTTCCCCTATCCTGAAACAGGGAAGAACTGAAGTTGGTAGAGTAGGGGGAGGATTTTGTCTCTCAACATCTTTTCCAGGGAACGCTGGAAATACCCATTTACCACACCAGAGCACCAGCCCCAGTGCAATTTCAGTTGCCATACAGTGAAAGACAGAGCCTTAAGTAATAATACTTTTAATAAAATTAACTTCTCAATCGCACATTTAATACATTAACCCTCCCCCTCCTTGGTTTCTCTGCATCGTGTGCAGCATCACTTTGACTTGATTATTCACGGGTCTGTTTTATTTCCCACCTTTGTTTTGCATTTGAACATCTTCCTTGGTGATTTGCAAGAGTCACTAGGTGCTTCAAGTCAGGTCTGACCGCGATCCTACTCTACTGCCCCAGGGCCGCCTCCACCCACCCACCTGACCTCTCAAGCACTCGCCCTCAGTAGGCAAGGGGAAATTCTTCCCTTGCCCAGATGCTACCATCTCAAACTATTGAGGGTCCTAGGGCAAAGAGGGCAGGGGGACCTCTAGTCTCTAGATGGGGTGAAAAGAGTAACTGGGGAGAGGGAGGTGTGTCTGGGCTCTAGGGTCCATAGCTGGTGTACTGCTTGCTCAGACTAAAGCCAAGAGGCCTCTCCCCACCCTGATCTGATTGCCAGTGGGGGCTGATGCAAGGCAAGTGCTTAAAAATGCTTATTTCTCACACGCAAAAGCCAGGCTTCCAGTTTTCTGTGGGGAAGGTGATGTGATGTGGCCATGTGGGTGATCCCTATCTAAACATAGGGAGGGAGGCCAGGACACTAGGGCTACACTGGGGTCACCAAAGCTCCCTTCTTACTTTTACTGCTGTACTTTGGGGGGACAGGTTCTCCCAGGCCAGATTCGCACTCTACTTCCTGAGTAGAAAGTATTTCTCGGGATGTGACTCTCTGAGACTCCACAAAGCTAAGCGTGGTGGGGCATGCCTTGTAGTCCCAGTAATTGGAGGCAGCAAGAAGATGGCTGCTTGTTTAAGGCCAGGCTGGGCTAGAGACCCTGTGTCAAAAAATAAAAAAGAACACTGCACCTGTGAGGAAAACAGCACTAGATTGCACCGCCGCTCCCACCGCGGCACGGGCCGGGCAAAGCTGGGCCGACAAGCATTGCACGCTCATTGGTGAGCAGCTATACCTTGCTCTTGAACCAACCTGTAGCAAGATGGACTGAGGTGACTTCAAGGACCTCCTCAGTGTGGCCTGGGAGCTGCTGCCTTGGGTGAGGGTTGGGCATTAGGAGTAGGGACTTCCCGACAGATGCCCAGTCTCACCTTGCTTCAGATGACCAGTGTGTACCCTGGCAAAGACCTTGGGACAGCCGCCCAAGTGTACCTGTCCCACACTTAAAACCCTAAGGATTCTCAGAATCAACCCCAGCAGACTGGAAGCTCCCAATCTGAGCTAGCAGCCTGCTCCAGCCCCGTTCCCGGGTAGGGCAGCTCAGCCGCCGGCCTCTATCTTTTTCCCTTACCTTTATACTTCCTACGGGGCGCAGGGGCCCACAACGCTACTAAACTTTAAACTATCTGAGTATCGTCTACTAAGTAACTAGTAATTCTTCTTTCTTTCTCTAGGATTATATGAAATAAATTTGAATTATTTTGTAGTATTCTCTTCTTTTAAACCCCTCGGTTTTTCTTTCTCATTTTTTTCCTTTTTTGGTTAAAAAAAATCTATTTCTCTTAAATCTCACACCTCTGAGGGTTTCCATAGGCCTGCTAGGCCTCAGTTCTGCCTTCCCCCTCACTTGCCCCTGGCACAGGGTAGGGGAAGGAGGGGACACCCCAGGACCCTCAGTCCTTAGTCCCAAAGCTTCTTCCTTTCTGGTTAATCCCTTCCTTTGTTTGGCTCTGCCGGCTCCCCTGAGGGGGAGGGGGAGGGGAGCCCTCGGAATGAAATCCAATCTACTGGTGGGGGCCCCAAAAGGGACCGTCTCCCCATCCCCTCTCTCCACCAGCCATCCCAGGATGCTCCCCCAAGAAAAGCAAATGATATTTCTCCCCAAAAAAAAGTGGGGGAAAAAAAGAACATAAACCCGAACATATATTAAAAACTTTTTTAAGATTTAACTCTGAATACAAATGTATTTTTTCTTCTCTCCCTACATATATTCTAAACCTTCTAAAGTTTTTTTTAAGGATCACTTTATCATAAAATAAAATATCCTTTTCATATAATAAATTACCTAATAAAAAGTCTTTTTTTCATATTAGCCCAGGTTCTTTGCTACATTTATACGGTAATAAATGCCTTTATTAAAATAGAATATTAAATTATAAAGAACTGCTTTTTTTTTCTTTTTTGCTATTTTTGTTTCCTCTCCTGTTGGTCACCATCTCACTCCCTCATTGCTTTCTCTCTTGTCGCTCACTTTTGCGTTTTGCGCTTGTTTCTAGGAAAGGCTCACTCCGCAAGGGTGTGGGACTGGATCTGTGGAGCCCCAGTGTAACAGTCTTTGCCTTTGTGGGGGGAGAGGGGGAGGGGGTCGACAGACAGACATCCCTTCTTCCCGCCCCCTCCCATCCCCTGCCCCTGGGCAACCCAGGGTGCCCATTTGGTTTGGTTTCTATTGTACAGACATCTCAAGATGGCTCACATTGGGGGAAAGGAGGGAAGCTGCCACAGGCCAGTTTTCTGGGCTGTGGCCTCCTTCCTCTCCCCTCCCAGGCTGGTGGTATGGAGGGGAAGGCTGAGGAGAGGCAAGGTAATTCACAATAGGCAAAGGGGAGAGAGGACCTCCCTCTGTGCCCTCATCCCACATCTTTTCCCTATCCAGGAAGAATGGGACTTCTGAGCAGGAAGAGCTCAGTCCCACCTGACTATATACAAGCATCTCCTGGGCCTCCCGGGCCTCCCCATCACCCATCCTCTCCCGGCCCGGCCAGCGGAACCAGGAGGGTAGGAGGCTGCGGGACAGACAAAGGGTGCCAGGCCCTATCACAACACCTGATTCTTGTAACAGGCCCTACTGCGCCTCAATGCTTTGCCCAGGCTTGACCCTCACCAAAGATCTGGCCTCTCTCCTCAGCCAGTGGGTAAGACAGAGACTTCATGATTTGTGGCTAATACGGATTCAATAATGGTCCAGCTGGTGCAGCGAGGTCAGGGGGTAGGCCACTGCAGGTGAGGGGGAGGGGGAGCCGTCCATCCACATCTTTCCTGCCCCAAGACTTTTCCTACTTCTCATTTTCCCTTCCCTTGGCCAGAAGACCCAGGAGAAGTGCTCCCTAAGTATAATGCCCATAGATGATGAAGGTGGGTTTCAACCCTTACGTACCCCCATTATCAGTTTCTCTCTCGAACTGTCACTGAGTCTACGGCTACATTCCATCAAGAACTGGAACTGGTTCTTTGGAGGAGTGGGGGACAGAGCTATCCAGTACATGAAGAGGAACTGGGGGCACTTCTCCCCAGGAGGATGGTATCCCCAAAGCTGGGCTAGAAGGGGCAGGAAGGGGGAAAGGAAGAAAGACAAAGAGGACAGCCAGGGGAGGGGGGATTGAAGAAATAGAAAAAAAGCAAAGGGCAAACCCAGAGGAAAAGTTGGGGAAAAGCCAAGCAAAAAGAGAAGCCCCTCTTTCCAGATCTCTCTAGCCCAGCTTTGTAAGACAGATGAGTTGTGAGCCCTTTATTGATTGGCCTCCTCCTCCAGTCCAGATCTTTGATAGGCCCCCATCTCCCTCATACTGTTGGGAACTCCGGATATGCGTGGGGAGGGGGATAAAGGGTTATGTTAGGAGGTGGAGGTCAGGACCAGAGGGGCGGGGATCACTAAGAGCACCTCTGGTTACAGATGGCAATTCTCCCCCTCCTGTGTTCTCTTACCCCTCCACAGAGGAAGGGGTAAAATGACACACAGATGGGGAGAAGGGAAAGGTCAGGATGTCCTGGTGGACACTTCAGGCTAAACAAAAGCTTCTCATAGCTGCTTCCAGATTTAAGGGTGTGTTGAGGTATCAGAGTTGTAACTCTAGTAAAACTTACGGTCTGGCCCCCTCCCAAAGGGTAACCAGAGGTTCTGAAAGTGGCTGCCCCCTCAGCCACTCATGCCTCCCTTCCCCACCCCAGGGAGCGAATATTTCTAAGCACCTTGCCCTGTAGTCACTGATTTTCCAAAAGGCCCTACAGGTCCAGGGTGTCACCCTGGGCAGCGGGCCCAGACCAGGGACAGGGAGCTTAGGAAAATATTCGGATGGCTTGCGTGGCGGTGATGTGGCAGACAGGACACTCTGGGTCCGTCCTCTCGCAGATGCGTACTGCACACTCCATGCAGAAAAGGTTGTGTCCACAGGGCACCAGGGCTGCTGTCACTTCGCTCTCAAAGCACACCATACAGTCCCGCCCGCCGCCTGGACTCCGCAGCCCTCCCGCCCCCAGTTTAGAGAAGCCCTGCAGCGGCTCTCCAGGCGGTCGCCGAGGGAGCCCGGCCAGCTGCTCTTGCCCCGCAGAGGTGGCTGGAGAGCGGTGTGCACCCGGTGGGCCTGCACGTGCCTTGGTCGAAGAAGAAGAGGCAGAAAAGAGCACCGAGGTGGGCGTGGCGTTCTCCTGGCCCGCCCACAACGGGGGACTCGTCTCCGCCACGCCGTAGTACACGTCCTGCTTGCCCACGCCGTAGCCCGGAAACAAATACCCGCCGTAGCCAAAGTCCCCGCCCTGCTCGCCTAGGCGCGGGGCCTCGAAGGCCGAGTCCACGCTGCACTCGCCGATGCAGCCCAGGCTGTTCTGCCGGAAGGTGGAAAGCGGCTTGCAGCCCGGAGCATGCACCCGCCAGGCGTCCGAGTAGCGGCTGTCCAGCGCAGTGTCGGGGCTGCCAGCCAGGAAGTCGCCGTCGCTGTTGTACTCGAGGATCTTGCCGGTGCGCACAGCGATGTGCGTCTCGATCTCCTCCCGCGCACGTTCCACGTTGCCTGGGGCGCCGGTGATCTCGAACACCGGGTCGCGGTCCCGACTGGGGGTGATGATGTATGTGTTGGTCTGCTGCTGGATGCGTTTGATAGTCGCTCCCTTGGGGCCCACCACCAGTCCCACCACACGGTAGGGCACTCGAACACGAATGGTCACCTGGCCCGGCAGAGCAGGGGCCACACCAAAGGCGGCGCCAGATTTGTTGCGTGAGGCTCTTATCATGGAGAAGTGCTCAGCTGCTGAGATGATTTCCCGCCGGGCTGTGGCCACGTCTTCCCGCCTCCCAGTCACCATGAACACGGGCTCCTCACCTCGCACAGGTGTCTTGATGTAGGTGTTGGTCTTGGCTCTCAAAGCCTTAATCTTGCAGCCTGAGCAGAGTAGGAAAGAAATTCACAGGACAAGGGTTGTACTGGGATGTCTCCAGAATCCCAGCCTCCCAGGAACCTGCCACACGCACAGCCCACCCCATGTTTCTCTTCTGTACCAACCACTCTGGGTCTTCCAGATACACTCCTCCAAAACCGCCTCCTTCAGGGCCTTTCAGAAAAGCGGCTAACCAAAAACCTGCTCACAAACTCTCCCCTAAGAACCTGCGCTTCCATTTCCCTCCACCTCACCAACCTCTCAGTCACCTCTCCTGATCTTTGCTCAAAACTCCAATGCATTCATTAAGGCACAGTCTACTGTGACCTCCATTCACTAAAAGAGTGTCCTCTAGCTCACCCAGGGTTATTGACCACCGTGTGCTGTGACCTCCCATGCCTTCTGCCCCACATCTTCTCTGTGAATCTCCACATCATAAAGTTTGCAGCACCTGACACTCAGTGTGGGACTTGTGGGAGAGGACAGGATGGGGTGGGGGTCGAGGAGTGAGAATTTCAAGAGAGAAAAGTAGAAGTTCTTATCATCTGGAGGAGGAGGAGCTGTGCTCTTGTTCCCAGCCCCAGGCAGGGCTGAGATGCGCTGGAGGCTGAGAAGGGAGGAAGTGGGCATTTCTGGACCCATGCTCCTGCTCTGAAGGAGTAGCAGGTTAGGGCTGGGAAGCTGCGGAGAGAGGGTCGGGAGAAGGCTGTGCCTGTGGGCTGTAGACCTCAATGGCTGTCCTCCAGACAGGAGTGTGAGGACATGTCCCTAAGGGTACTGAAGCAATGGGCAGAGTACATCCTTCCAAGCAAGCAGTCCCGTGGGGTGAACAGAACACCCTTCACGTGTACACAGACCCTCTCCTATCTCAGTCTTCCCCAGCACACAGACTCACGCAAACTCCCTGGGCTCCCCAGGCACATCTCCCCGCTGACACACTAGCAATCCAAAGACAAGTGCCCACTCTGCCCAACCCTCAACTGCAGGCCTCTGTGTGAACTTGTTTTTTCTTTCTCCTCCCTCTCCACTCCAAATAGTGTCTTTTTTAACCTTAATGTACTGGAGGGACACGATGGGTTAAGAACATATCTTTAAGATATATTAGGAAGGAAAATTTGACTCCTGACCTTCTTTTCAGACCTGTTGGCAGTTAAGAAGTCCTACTTGTTGTCAAGCCTACATCCTTGCTGCTTTATTGGCAATGGTTCACTCTATGAGTCTTGGAGGACCAAAGCACAGTACATTCTGCCACCTCAACTTATATGCCATCTCATGGGCACCTAGGCTCCGGTTCTTAAGTTTTGGAACCATAAACTTCAGTGGGAGCTAGGTGTCTTTGAGAGTTGGGAAGTTTGGGAGGTCAAGCCCTGGTATAAGACTAAGGAGAAAAGCCAGAGGCCAGGCATTAGAGAACCCAGAGCATCATCCTCCTGGCTTCTGCAACACAGAAGCATCTCTAGAAGGGAGGCAGGAGGCAGAGAAACTCTCAAACTGCGGCAGCAGACCAGAGAGGACTTCCACCTACTCGGGAATGGGGATGGGAGGACATATGTTTTCTGAAGAAGAGAAATTCTACTTTGATGATGGATAGACACATTTGCTAAGGAGGCAGAAGAGAAAAGGACTCCATTAAATTCTGGTGCCTTCCAAGACTTCACCTAAGCAGAGATATTAATATCCCCACCCAGTTCCAGGCTCTGGATCCCCCGTGTCTCTGACGGAGGGGAAATCCAACTTTCTAAACCAGACACCCCAAGAGATTGAGGGAGGGGGCGCTGTGCAGGGGAGTGGCAAGCTCCCCTCCTCCACTCAGCTCCCCATTCCAAATCCCCCAGCTCCAATACTAGGGTGGATGAGGTGGGATATGGAGTAGGGGCCACAGCCTGCCTCCCCATCCAACTGCCAGGAACTGCCCTCCTTCTCTACTCCCGCGGAATGCAGCCCCTCCATTGTTCCCCACAGTGGGGCAGCTCCTCCCCCACTCCACCTCTCAGCCCAGCCCCTTTGCAATATCCAAATCCCGCTCCTCCTCCCCCCACCCCGAAGCTGGGAGGGGAAGGGTCCCCAAGATCCAGGTTGCTCAATTTGGGTACTAACCAAAACTCCCACCCACCTAGGGATGCCGGGCTGAGGAGGGTGTGGTAACATACTCCATTGGCTTAATCCAACACCCCTCCCAGCCCACCCAGACATGTACCCACCACCAAATTTCCAAGTGGAGGTTTCTCTGCCCCCTTCAACGACATGCCCCTCCTGCCCTGTCCCACGCATTCACTCAGAGACTCTTCTTTAGACCCTTGGCTCCAGGCCGTGGCCAGCCCAGAACAAAAGCAAGACGGAGAAGGAGAGGCCCACGCCAGGGCTGGTACCACTTCAGAGACACCCTCCCCAAACACAAGGGCCCACACATGCAAGGGCTAGCAGACGACCACAGGACCCCACTCTGCTAAGGGCTTCCTCATCACCTCTCCCCAGACTGGGACCCTCCCCTGGGCCACACCCCCTTTCATTCCTACACTCAGCCCAACAAAGAGACAGATCCTCAGTCGGGCTTCATGGACCGGGTCTTGCTCAGAGTCCCTAACTCCAACGGCGGAAGGTCCCAGGAGTGCCCCCTCCCCAGTCTACAAGCAGATACCAGAGTAAGGACTTCCAAGTAATTGCACATTCCGTCAGTTCTTCCAGCCCGGAGCCGACACCCCCTCCGCACAGACCCCGGGATTGGGAGGCAGCTCCCCCTCCCCTTTCCTCTCCCAGTTCCAGGATATTTCTTTGTCTACGGGCGGAGCCCCAGGGGAGGAAGGGTCCCGAGAGTCGTCCCTACTAGGGGTACCAGGGAACTTTGTGGCACTTGGAATCTGGGCAGGGGGCGGGGCCCCCTTTGTCGGGAAAGGGACAGAGCCAGAGGCGGGCAAAGAGGGAAGCGATGAACTTTCAGAGCCGGGGACAGCAAGCCCCCATTCCAACCCTCGCAGTGTCCGGACACCCGCTTACCTTGCCTGCCCACGATCTCGGCCACGTGCTCGGAGGTGGGCACGGGAACGCACTCCGTGGTGTTGCTGCTGCCCTTCAGGCGCAGCTCGGCCTCTTTGTAGAGTGCGCAGAGCTTGGCGTCGTTCGCCCCTTTGGGGGCGGCGGGGGGCTGGGGCGTC